TCATAAAAGCTTTGGTGCAGAGATATACTTGAAGGCACGCAGCAAGAGCTGTTTCCAAAATATTCCAAGTGCTTCATTCTATCCCTTGACATGCCTTCAATTTCCCCATGGGTGTATCTCCAGTCTGAGAAGCTGCACCAGATGAATGCCTGCTTGCTTCTTGTTCCTCAGAGGGAAAGGGGTGGGCAGTGGCTGCAGGTGGACAGGCTCCAACTTGAGGCCAGGCCAGACTTCAAATACCTTAAAGACCTGGACCTGGATTCTGGGGACAACTCCTTTTCTGGGAAATCAGGCCAGAGAGAAGAAGCATCGGTTCTCAGTCTTGACACTAGAGGGTGCTGGAGTCACACTGTCACAGCCGCCTTTTCTGCAAAGAGATGTATTCCTTTCAAGAGTGATCAAAGTAGTGAAAGACAGATCTTAAACAGACTTAGTGAGAATGACTGGGGGGATTGATGCATTTATCTTGGAGAATAGCCTCAATCTCTCAAAGGGTGTCAGGGAGAAAGAGGGTGGAGGAAGTTTGGATTCCACTTTTCTGGAGACTAAAATCAAAACCAGTACAGTTGAATGGTTTTCTTAAGAGCAGAGCTTTCCAAACGGTGTGTTGGGACAACTAGTGTGTTGCATGTGGTCCCTAGGTGCATGACCAATGCTCTCCCTTCCTTGCCTCCACAAACCCCATGGAGTGGCCATTGAGGAAACAGCAGAAGACATAAGAAGTGTACACGAAAAAATTCCAAGCCTTGAGTATTGTGATCGGAGTGACCCCCCCCCCCCGACTCTGTAAAAGTTCAAAATCAGGGAATGCATAGTTTTGCCAAGGACACTAGGCTGGTATGATCCCATAATCCCCTATCTCTCCCCCATGTGGGAACCTAAGGCTCTTTCCATGGCCCTGTGGCCCCACATGCCAATGCCCCTGTAACCCAAACTGGCATCTGACCAATGTGGCTATTATTTATTAATTGGATTCCTTTTTTATGAATGAAACTCCTGTCTTATGAATGGACTCCAGCTACTCAATGCTCCTAAGGCCTTCTATACACCCCCATGAACTCTTATGGACTTTCCATGAACTCTCATGAACTTTATAGGAACTTTTATAAACTCTTGCCAAACTTTATTAACTTTTATGGACTTTGGGGTGGCTGATGTGACTTTCCCTTAGACCCTGCATGATTTTCCTCTCCTTATGAATTCATTGTATGTCCCTTTACCCCATCCCCATACCTTATATGTATGTACCTATATGAAATATGGAGGAAAAGCCACCATTTTCATAAAATCAGCAACTCTCATAACTCTGGAAGCCCCTCTATGCTTCCTGAGTTGATAATCCCCTAAAAAAGGATTTCACCAAGCCCACTTGCATGGACAATAAGTAAATGTCTCTTATCAGACCAGACTTCAGAGGGCAAAGCCAGGCCATCTAGGATGATAGGATCTATGGACATTTTAATCACCCAAAAAGCATCTTCCTGTCTGCCAGGAACCAGGAACTTTGCTACAGCCTCTCCATTGTGTCAATCCTAACCAGCCGAAACCAACCCCAAGTCTTAACAATGAACTCCATATCTCAGGACTGTAAAAACAAAGGACCTAGCCTCTAGGGGCTAGACAAAGATGCTAATCCAAAGAATCAAACAATAACCTTGATTAGGCTTGAGAGCCTAACGGTTATCTCCCAGCCATTTGGCAAACACCGGTCACCCTAATCCAGACAACTAGACATTTCTTCATTTGTTTCCCTGTTGCCCGCCTCCCTTCCAACTCATTGGCTGAGCGGCCAAAGCAGGGCTCAGGCCACCACTGGCTCTCCTGCTGGCTTGCTGACTGTCACAGCCAATCTGAAGGCTATAAATATTGTATTGTCGAAGGCTTTCATGGCTGGAATCACTAAGTTCTTGTGGGTTTTTTCGGGCTATATGGCCATGTTCTAGAGGCATTTCTCCTGACGTTTCGCCTGCATCTATGGTAATATTGTATCTCTTTGCCCAGTGGGCATGTCGATTTTTGGCAGTCTACTGCAATTGTCATCCTTTCCAGTTGGCTTGAAATGAAAACCTCAGTGGCTTTAGGTTCTTGTGGGTTTTTTGGGGCTATATGGCCATGTTCTAGAGGCATTTTCTCCTGATGTTTCGCCTGCATCTATGGCAAGCATCCTCAGAGGTAGTGAGGTCTGGTGGAACTAGGAAAAGGGGTTTAAATGACCAGGATGGGACAAAGGTAGGCCTGGGTAACAACGGAAAAATTTGTTTCTAAACTCGTTTCGTTTTTAGGGATCCATTGTGTTTCGTTTTTTAAAAGAATTCCAAAATTTTCTTTTAAAAAATTTCGTTATTTACGAAATTTCGTAATTGATTCGTTAATGGCGGACGCGATTGCGCAATACGCAAAAAAAACCTCCAAATGGGACAGGGGGAACTTCTGAAGCTTCCCTCTCCCTCTGTTGTTGGCTGTTGGTGTGATAATTTATTTTTTTATCACTGATAAAACAAACTAAAACTATAAAACTTGCACCAGACATACGGAAATAATAATGAATCAATAACGAATCAGTAACGAATCAATAACGAATCAATTACGAAATTGATCAAAAAATTCGTTTTGTTATTTGGGTGCTCCTGAATGGTTCGTTATCGTTTCGTTAACAAAAAAAATAACGAATTAATAACGAATTACGAAATTAACGAATGAAACCGCCCAGCCCTAGACAAAGGACTCTTGTCTGTTGGAGCTAGGTGTGAATGTTTCAACTGGCCACCTTGATTAGCATTTGAGTGCCTGGCATTGCCTGGAGCAATCTTTTGTTGAGAGGTGATTAGATGTCCTTGAGGTTAAACAGCTTGCCATCTGTCCGATAGATGAATTCCACTCCGCTGGGAAGCTTCCCATTAACAAGGTGAAGTATCATAGTGATGAAGATGGAGAATAGAGTTGGAGCAATAACACATCCCTGTTTGACGCCTCATTCCACCTTACATGCGTCACCTCTAAATAAAAGATTGCCCCAGGCACTGCCAGGCCATCAAATGCTAATCAAGGTGGTCAGTTGAAACATTCACACCTAGCTCCAGCAGACAAGAGTCCTTTGTCCCACCCTGGTCATTCCACAGATATATAAACCCATTTTCCTAGTTCCAACAGACTACCTCTGAGGATGCTTGCCATAGATGCAGGCGAAACGTCAGGAGAGAATGCCTCTAGAACATGGCCATATAGCCCGAAAAAACCTACAACAACCCAGTGGTTCTGGCCATGAAAGCCTTCGACAATACAAAAAGGCTGAGGGGAACATCAAATCATCCGGGTGTCCCCTGGGCAACGTCCTTGCAGACAGCCAATTCTCCCACAACAGGAGCGGTTGCTCCTGACACGACAAAAAAAAAAAAAAATTAGAAAATGTTGACTATTTCTACTCCCTTGGCACCTCTCCATCAAAGTCAACATTGACACCGAAATACAACACTGCCTGAGCTCTGCGAGTGCAGCTCTTTTCCAAATGAAGCACAGAGTGTTTGTGGATTGGGACATCCGTAGGGAAACCAAGGTGCTTGTCTATAAAGCTATTGTCCTCCCAACCTGCTCTATGCCTGCGAAACGTGGACTGTCTACAGACGTCACATGCAACTCCTGGAACGATTCCATCAGCGCTGCCTCCGGAAAATCCTGCAAATCTCTTGGGAAGACAAGCGGACAAACATCAGCGTGCTGGAAGAAGCAAAGACCACCAGCATTGAAGCGATGGTCCTCGCCATCAACTCCGCTGGACCGGCCACGTTGTCCGGATGCCCGACCACCGCCTCCCTAAGCAGTTGCTCTACTCTGAACTCAAGAACGGAAAATGGAACATTGGAGGACAGGAAAAGAGATTTAAAGATGGCATCAAAGCCAACCTTTAAAACTCTGGCATTGACACTGAGAACTGGGAAGCCCTGGCCCTTGAGCGTCCAGCTGGAGGTCAGCTGTGACCAGCAGTGCTGTAGAAATTTGAAGAGGTAAGACTATCCTACTCGGACATACCAAGAGGAGGGCGCGTCAACCCCCACCCGGACCGCCTTCCACCTGGAAACCAATGCCCTCACTGTGGGAGAAGATGCAGATCAAGAATAGGGCTCCACAGCCCCTACGGACCCACCGCAGGACACTTGGAGGACCATCATCCTCAGACTAAGAAGCCTCCCTGCAGGATTGCAACACATGAGGCGTTGTCTTTGTAGGCGGCTGCTTTCCCTCCTCCTTTCCAAAGGCCTGGGGTGGGTCCTCACTGCCTGCCCATAGTTTGGGAGAGGGAGGCCCCCACCCCCAGCACCCCCTGACAGGAGGGAGACCCCAGGGAGGCCCTTCTCCCTTCAAGGAAGGAGACCAGGGCCTCTGAGGAGGGCCTTCTCGGTCAAGGTGGCCTTTCTGGAAGTGACAAAGGCACAGGAGATTCCACCTGAACATGAGGAAGAACTTCCTGACTGTGAGAGCCCTTCAGCAGTGGAACTCTCTGCCCCGGAGTGTGGTGGAGGCTCCTTCTTTGGAAGCTTTGAAACAGAGGCTGGATGGCCATCTGTCAGGGGTGATTTGAATGCAATATTCCTGCTTCTTGGCAGGGGGTTGGACTGGATGGCCCATGAGGTCTCTTCCAACTCTTTGATTCTATGATTCTAGGGTATTACATTGAACCCCCCCCCCCCCCTCCGTCAGGGGCAGGGCAGGACAGGCTTTGGGCCTTCCCGAATGGCGCCTGCTTTGTGCGGATTCCTGAGGCGCCACTGGCCTCTCCCTCCTTGTTACCCAAAGCCTTCCTTCGGAGGGGATTCCCGAAAGCCCTTCGGAGCCAGGAAAGTTTCGCTTTCCCTTTCCAGCCAGTTCTCCGCTTGCGGCCGGGCTTCTGCCCAGCACCAGGTGACGACACGCGATCCTCGTTTTTCTATTGGGCGACGAGTCCGCTTTCGGCGAATCCTGGCTCTCTATCTCGGAACGGAGCGGCCCCTCCCTGACAGTTTGCGGCTGGACAGCGAAGAGACAGGGCGAGTTTTTTCTTCGCTCCCGAGTTTGGCCGAAAAGAAGGAGAGAGAGAAGAGAGGGGTTCCTCCAGGGGGAAGACATGGGTCTGTCCCAGGACGTCCCCTTCTTCCTCCTTTTTGGGGTGGTCGCCCTTCTGCTGCGGGGTTCCGACGGTGAGTAGAAGATTGGGGCGCCCTCGGAACGGGGGGGGGGGCCCAGGTCCGTAGCCGGGGGGGGGGGGGGCTAGAGGGACTTCAGCCCCCCCGCCTCGAAATTCTCAGGATGGCCTTTCTGGTCCATTACTTATTCTATCATGATCTGATCACCAGGCTCAATATATCCCATATAGGGGGGGGGGGGGCCAGGGGGGGGGGGGGGGGCTGAGGGCTTCAGCCCCCCCCTCCAAATTCTCATGGTGGTCCGCGAGAAGGCCTTACTGGTACATTATTTAAACTGTTATGTTTATTCATATCATGATCTGATCACCATGCTCAATATATCCCATATGCCTGGAGGTATTGGGGTAACGATACAAAAGGTTTGCTAGGGTAGACCCTCTTTCACCCAGACTCGCCCCCCCCCCCCCCCGAATCCTGGCTACGGGCCTGATGGGGGCATTGGGATAACGATATGAAAGGTTTGCTAGGATAGATCTTCAGCCTCCCCCCCCCCCCCCAATCAAACTCAGCCTCTCCAATCAAAATCCTGGCTACGGTCCTGGGGGGAGGGGTTCTTCTTCCTCTGCTTGAAACACAGTGTTCTTAATGCATGCCCCTGTGGCCCCTGTTCTGCTTTCCTTATGGCACATATCCTTTTTTCCTGTTGGACATTGGAATAATGCCTTCTGCCCCCTTTGTCCTTCTCCAGGCGCCTCCCCCCATTCCCTCTGCTATTTCACCACCATTGTCTCTGAGCCTGGAGAGAAGGAGCCCCAGTTTTTCTCTGTGGGCTACGTGGATGACCAGGAGTTCACTTCCTATGATGCCAAAGCCAGGAGAGATCTTCCCAAGGTGCCCTGGATACGGAAGGTGGAGGAGGACGACCCTCAGTACTGGGAGTGGAACAGCCAGTATGTGCGGAATGCTGAGCTGATCTTCCGAGTGGACCTGGGCACCCTGGCCGGGTACTACAACCAGAGCGGAGGTGAGCGGAAGGAAGAGACGGGGCGCCTGCCCTCCTCACCCCCATAACTCTTCCTCTCAGAATCAGGGAGTGCAAAGCAGAGGGGGGTGAGAGTAAGATAATCTTTCTATATATATATATTTTATATATATACTAGCCTTCCCCTGCCACGCATTGCTGTGGCCCAGTCTGTGTATATGTGTTTTGTGTATGTATATATATTTGTGTATATGTGTATATATGTGTGCTTGTGTATATATATGTGGTTTTGCACATATGTAGTAATGTTTGTATATATTTGTGTATGTGTATATATGTGTGTTTGTGTGTATACATGTGTATATATTTGTATATTTCTGTGTTTATATGTGTATACATATATTGTGTATATGTGTGTGCTTGTGTATATGCATATATATGTATGTGTATATGTATATGTATGTTGGTGTATATGTATGTATGCGTGCATGTGTATATATATATTTCTGTGTTTATATGTGTATACGTATAGACATATATTGTCTATATGTGTGTGCTTGTGTGTATGCATATGTGTGTGTTTATATGTGCATATGCATGTGTATATGTATATGTGTGTAGATGTGTGTATGTGTGATTGTGTATATTTGTGTGTGTGTCTGTATGTATGTGTACATGTGTATATGTATATGAATATATGTGTATATGTATATATGGTTTATTTTGGGGAGGTTTTAAAGTCCGTTCTGCTGGGTTTTTTGTGTTTTTATGAGTGATGGTCACTCGTTGGCCTGATAGGTGTATTGTGTCCAAATTTGGTGTCAATTCGCTCAGTGGTTTTTGAGTTATGTTAATCCCACAAAAACACATTTTTATTTATATAGACTAGCCGTCCCCTGCCACGTGTTGCTGTGACCCACATGGGGGTTCTGTTTGGGAGGTTTGGCCCAAGTCTATCATTGGTGGGGTTCAGAATGCTCTGTGATTGTAGGTGAACTACAAATCCCAGCAACTACAACTCCCAAATGTCAAATTCTATTTCCCTCAAACTCCACCAGTGTTCACATTTGGGCATATTGAGTATTTGTGTAGAGTTTGGTCCAGATCCATCATTGTTTGAGTCCACAGGGCTCTCTGGATGTAGGTGAACTACAACTCCCAAACTCAAGGTCAATGCCCATCAAACCCTTCTAGTATTTTCTGTTGGTCATGGGAGTCCTGTGTGCCAAGTTTGGTTCAATTCCATCATTGGTGGAGTTCAGAATGCTCTTTGATTGTAGGTGAACTATAAATCCCAGCAACTACAACTCCCAAATGACAAAAATCAATTTTTTGAGTGATGGTCACTCCTTGGGTTAGTAGGTGTTTTGTGGCCAAATTTGGCAGCAATTCATCCAGTGGTTTTTGAGTTATGTTAATCCCACAAACGAACATTACACTTTTATTTAAATAGATATATTGGACATTTCCATTTATTTTTCCCACACCTACAAAGGGAGAAGCGTAAAAGTCAGGAAAGAAAGACAAGGGAAAAGAGAAGGGCTTTGGAGTGATTGGTCGTCAATTAAACCTTTACCAATACCTAATATTCTGCAGGGGGAGGGGCGGGGTGGGGAAGGAAGAGCAAAGGCAGTGTGCGGAGTTGCGATTCTTATCTCTCATGTTTCATTTCCATTGCACTTTGTGTCACTACTTAAAGTATTAAAAGGTCATTATATCCTTTATAGCAAAGGGAGGGGAACCCAGTGGCACAGTGGGTTAAACCGCTCAGCTGCAGAACTTGCTGACCAAAAGGTCAGTAGTTCGAATCGGAGGAGGGGAGTGAGCTCCCGCTCTCAGCCCCAGCTCCTACCAACTTAACACTTCAAAAACATGCAAATGTGAGTAGATCAATAGGTACTGCTCCGATGGGAAGGAAAAAATACCTCCAGGTGTTGCACTCTAGTTTTGAAACACCTTAACAAGGTACTCTTCGGCGGGAAGGACATAGCACTCCATGCAGCCATGCTGGCCACATGACCTTGGAGGTGTCTATGGACAATGCCAGCTCTTTGGCTTAGAAATGGAGATGAGCACCATTCCTTAGAATCAGACACGACTAGACAGGGGAAACCTTTACCTAGTTAAGAGAGGTCCTAGCTTCTGCCAACCTAGCAGTTCTAAAACATGCAAATGTGAGTAGATCAATAGGTACTGCTCTGGCAGGGTAACAGCTCTCCATGCAGTCATGCCGGCCACATGACCTTGGAGATGTCTATAGACAATGCCGGCTCTTTGGCTTAGAAATAGAGATGAGCACCACACCCCCAGAGTTGGACACAACTAGATTTAACGTCAAGGGGAATCCTTTCGCTTTTTACTTAGCAAAGAGAGGAGTGAGATTGTCAATTAGTTTCAGATTTTCCTCTCGGTTGCTCCTACCAGATTGTTTCTTTTCAATCTTTATCTAAGGCTTTAAAGAAGATTTTAAAAATCATACCAGGGGCTGCGGTGGTTAAAACATGTTTTGATGAATTTAATCTGAATTGTTTTTAATAGTAATGACGTTTAATGCTTTCCTTAATGTATTGTCAAAAGGCTTTCATGGCCGGAATCACTGGGCCAAACGTCTCCTGATGTTTCGGCCACATCAATGGCAGGCATCCTCGGAGGTTGTGAGGATGCCTGCCATAGATGCAGGCGAAACGTCAGAAGAGAATGCTTCTGGAACATGGCTATACAGCCCGGAAAACACACAACAACCATCTTTTTAAAATATTTGTGTATTTTGAATTGTATTGTAATGCTTTTAATGTTACCCACTTGGAGACTCCTTGTACAGAAAAAATGTAGGACTTTAATAATAATAATAATAATAATAATAATAGGCAAGTGAGGGGGATGCAGCAGCAACAGGTTTTCCATCCTGTAAGAGGGAGCAAAAGCATGGGGTGGCCTCCCCTTCTCCTCCTTAGCAAGGAAACCTTTGAGGACAGTTATCCAAGGAGTTGAGGGACTAAAACAAGACCCCCCACCCCCAGGAAGGATAATCACAGGATGGCAGCACTGTCCTGGAGCCCCCAGTGGCGCAGTGGGTTAAAGCCTCTGCTGGCAGGACTGAAGACCGACAGGTCGCAGGTTCGAATCCGGGAGAGGCGGATGAGCTCCCTCTAGGCTCCAGCTCCTCATGGGGGGACATGAGAGAAGCCTCCCACAAGGATGATAAAACAAAAACAAACATCAGAAATCATCCGGGCGTCCCCTGGGCAACGTCCTTGCAGACGGCCAATTCTCTCACAACAGGAGTAATTGCTCCTGACACGGAAAAAAAAAAAGCACTGTCCTGCAAAAGAAATATTGGTTTCTTCATTTAGACCAGGCATTCTCAAATTTCTTCAGCCGCTGAGCCCTTTTTGAAGAAAAAGTTGATTGTTGAGCCCCAATAAATGTTTATATATAATATTATATATTATGTTATATTTAATGTTTGTCTGTGTGTGTGTGTGTGTGTGTGTGTGTGTGTATCTATCTGTCTATCTCAAGCATGGGCAAACTTTTTGATCATCAAAAACTGAATAGTATTTCAATGGAAGACCCCAGGGGCCATCTAGTCCAACCCCCTTTATTCTGCCATGCGGGAAAAGCACAACCATAGCTCCCCCTGAGCGGTGGGAGAGAAATAGGGCTTTGGAAGCAAGCAAGGCAAGGGGGAAAGGATCTGGGTGGCAAGAAAGGTGAGGAAAAAAGGCTTTTGTTGGTAAGGGAGGCAGGTTGAAAAGTCTTTTGGTGGTGAGGGAGGAAGGGGGACGGGAGGAGCAGGAAAGAGGAGGGAAAGCTTGGAGGGGGGAGGAGGGAACCTCGGAGTCAGGGAGGGTCTATGCCCAATAGGTCCAGGGCCAGAACTGAGCAAATGCAGATAACATTCTATTACTTTCGTTTTTAACCAATGTGTTGTCCATTCTCCCTTATACACACCATGGAGAAATAACTACTGTAGTTTTACCGAACTAGGATTATAGCTTTGAAAATAATAATTTCTGTCGTTGTCCAGTGGGATGGACTTCATCATAAACGTCAATCAGATTGTGGTCTTAAAATACACTTAGATTTTTGTTTTCTAATTTCCTGTCCTTAGAATATAGAGTCAAATGCTTGTTAAATCTGATTTGTAGCTTAGTATTTTACTGCAGGAAACCCTTTAAATAAGTGACTAACTAGACCCTTATGTAGCAGAATCACAAAATGTTGAATTCCTTTACCATTTAAGTGGTTAAAGTAACATGTCAAGAATGGTGGATTAGCAAAGAAAAGTGACAGCACATAAACTGATTTTTTATTTAACAGTCATTAAGAATAATATCAAATTTCCTACATGCTGGGAGGTGGAACTAAATAATGTTGAGGTCCCTTCCAAACTCATAATTTTTACTCTTCTTTTCTCATAAGAGCAAAAGTTTCAAGGAGTAGCGTATGGACATTAGTGGTTGTGTCCAGACCTTTGGATCCCTTTTTTGCACAGAGAATCTCACAGATCAATCCTCTCCTGTAACTCTCTGGCTACAGACTGACAACTTTCAAAAAGCTGCGCTGCCAAGTGGCAGTTGGCAGTTGGCTTCACCCCTGTTGCTACAACAACTCAGCTCAAGGCAAGCCAAGCCAGTTACCATCCCTAATAAAATACAATTCTACATATGTACCATTACTAACTATTGTCTAAACAATACATGACTACAGGAATAAAAATACACATCATCACACTGAACCTCAGCGCCTCTGTCTTCCCTGGATTAGGTTTCAGGTTGTTTACCCTCATCCAGGTCATGACTGGTACCAGGCACTGCTTTGGGACTGGGAGAGCCTCTTTGGCCTGGAATGGGAAAGAGGAATAGAGCTGGGGGTCACTGCATATACATGGCACAGCCAAGCTCCAGGTGACTTTCCCCTGTGATTTCAGGTAAATGTTAACTAGCGCTGATCGTTTGCCCCCATTCAGGCCAATACAGGCGCCCTTATATTGGGACAGAAAGGAGCGGTTTCATCTGCACATTGAGGGTGGGGCTCACATGACATTTACAAGGCAGTGTTACAAAGTGAAGCCTCCAGCCATGTCATGAAATATGTATAATATATTAAGCATCAAGCACAGTTACACAGACTGTGCAATTCAGATAAAAGACACCAAGTTTTAATAACAGTATTAAGCAAACGTGTGGACAGACATATTTCTCAAGACAGCATTCTTGCCCTGAGATTTCTCCCCTTCCTCTGAGAGCTGTAGAAGGGGATTCACATTAAATAGTGATAGTGCTGCCTTCAATCTATTGCTGTAGTTCCATCGGAATCCTTGGATTTGAAGAAAAGTCGAACATTTTAATCAGACAGGTCATGTTCCCTTCTAAGATGTCAGATTGAGTGGTCAGCCACTTTCTCCCTTCAGGGCAAAGTCAAGTGGTTTTGTGGAAAACCAAAGCCTAATGCACATGTCCAAGGGCACAGCCCCGCTGCCTTTGTCTTGTGGGATCCTGCAGGCCTCAGTACTGTCCCCCACATTGTTTAACATCTACATGAAGTCACTGGGAGAGATCATTTAGAGTTTTGAAGTTCAATGCCATCTGTACACAGAAGACATCCAACTCCATCACTCCTTTCCACCTGCTTCTAAAGAGGCGGTTCAGTTTCTGAACTGGTGCCTGGCAGTTGTGATGATCTGGATGAGGGTGAGCAAATCGAAATCGAATCCAGACAAGACAGAGACACTCCTGGTCAGTTGAAAGGAAGAACAGGGAATAAGGTTACGGCCTGTGCTGGATGGGGTTACACAGGTTAGTGGCTTGGGAGTTCTGGATTTGTTGCTGAGCCTGGACTCAGGTTGCGTTGCTGTGATTCAGCTTTTTCACCATTAAAACTTGTGCACTAGCTGTGCCCTTACCTTGGGAAGTCAGACTTGGCCATAGTGGTCCACGCTCTTGTTACATCCCAAATAGACTACTGTAACCTACTGTACATGGGGTTGCCTTTGAAGACTGTTTGGAAGCTTCAATTGGTCCAACGAGTGGCAGCCAGATAGCTTTCCAGAGCAGGGTACAGGGAGCACACAACCTCCTTGTCAGCCAGCTCCACTGGCTGCCTATTAGCAAGGCACAATTCAAAGTGCTGGCTTTAGCCTATAAAGCCCTAAATGGTTCCGGCCCAGTTTACCTGTCCAAATGTATCTTCCTTTATGAACTACCTCGGAAATTAAGTCATCTGGGGAGGCCCTGCTTTTGGTCCCACCTCCTTCGCAGATGCAACTGATGGGGACAAGGGACAGGGTCTTCTCAGTGGTGGCCCCTCGATATCAGATCTGCCTCCTCTCTCCTGACCTCTGTCGAAAACTTAAGAAATGGCTTTAGAACCAAGCTATTAACAGTTAACTGGAGCAGTGCAATATGTAACTATGAAAGAATATAACTGCAAATGGAACAGCCCTAGACTGTATGTTTCACGTGTTTTTAACTGCTGTTTTAGTTGATGTTTTAACAATACATGTTCTAATTACAGGTTTTAACTGTAACTGTTTATTTGATATGTGTGTACGGCATTGAATTGCTGCCTGTTGTGAAGCCGCCTTGAGTGTCTGTCCGTCCATCTCCCACCCCCCACCCCCACCCCCCCGGGGTGAGAAAGGCGGGATATAAATGTGGGAATAAATAAATAATTAAGGGCACCAGGCTCCTGGGAGAAATGCCCTGAGTTCACCTTAGCTTTAGCTCTTTAAGGATGAGGCATAGGAATGTATAAAATAAAATAAAAATTAATTGGAAGGTGAACTATATGGCAAACAGTAAGACTGACACTATCCATTGAGATGAGTCTGAAATATTGTTCATGCAGTGAACTTGTGGAACTCTGTGCCACTGGGTGCTAACAGAAGCAGCAGGAAGTTGTCTAAGGATCATCCTTAGAAAACAACAGATTCCTACAGGAAGAGGTTCACCTTGGCCTGCAGCAGACTGGGGAGAGGAGCAGAAGGAATTCACACTGGAAGAAAGTCTTTCTGTCCTTAGGAGGAAAATTCCAGGATCTGCTTTCTGAAAGAACTGTGGCATCTCTCCTGGACCCCTTTTTTGGTTGTGGCCCTTTTCCATAGAAGGCAAGGGAGAATATTATAAAATCACTTGATAGCTCAGCCTTGAAATGTTTACTCAAAAGTAAGCTGAACAGAATTCAGTGGGATTTACTCCCAATAAAAGCCCAGATACTCTAAACGCCTGATGATCTAGGAAGCTAAACAGGCTAATCTCTGGTCAATACTTGGATGGAGGACCACCAAGGAATGCCCTGTGCTATGTGCTCTGATTCATAGGGAGGAACTGCCCAAACCCTCTCTCGGGATTTCTTGCCCAAGAAAACCCTGGGAAATCCGTGTCAAGAGGGGACTCAAAGTCTCTCTCCCCCACACACACAAATATATAATGCCAAGGACTCCAGCCTCAGTTGAGGGCATGGAAGACTCTGAATAAGGACACTCTTAAGAAAAGGATTGGGACCTCTGAAGGCATTTCCTCAGAGCCTGAAGTTACCACAATGGCAAAGGGGTTTCATTTGAATTTAGTTTATTCTTATAACAGACACATTGGAGGTGAGAGAGTCTTTTAGAAAACTCTGGAAGAAGGATCCACTGAAGTAGATGGAGGAGATTCTGGAAGCTGAAGGGAACCACATTCGGGAATGTTGCCTGAATCAGAGCACAGGCTGGGGAGGGGGTTTTGAGGTGTGTTCCCCTCGGGGCTCTGGCCTTCTCATTCTCAGGCAAGGTAATGCTTCTGTATTTCAGGAAGGCCCTTCTCTCCTTCTGGGATCAAAAGTCCACCCCGTCCTGTAATATACAATGTTTCCCTTTTGAGCCCTGGTGAGGACACTGTTTCCCTTTGAAGTGGGAGCACGGCGGTCTCCATGGGATTTTAGAGGACCCCCCCCCAGGCAGTGGGGCCTAAGAGAGAGAATCCAGTGAAGGGGGGAGAGCGGAGGAGGGGGAAAAGGGAAGGGGGAATCATTGTCTCAGGAGCTGAATTTTAACATTGGATTAATGGTGAATCTGAGAAAAAAATTCTTCCTTCTGTGGGTCTTTTCCAGGGGCTCACACTCTCCAGTACATGTCCGGCTGTGAGCTGAGGAAAGACGGGAGCAAAGGAGGGTATCAGCAGTATGCCTACGACGGAAGGGACTACCTCAGCTTTGACAAGGAGACCCTCACCTGGACGGCAGCCGATGCCGCAGCCCAGATCACCAAGAGGAAGTGGGAGGCTGAACCTGTCATTGCCCAGTATAAGAAGGCCTACCTGGAAGAGACCTGCATTGAGTGGCTGCAGAAATACCTGGAGTACGGAAAGGAGATACTGCTGAGGACAGGTGAGGGGCATGATGGGGGCTGGAGAGGAGGGTTACAGGGTCTTCATATCCTTCCCATCTCCCCACATGCATTTTAGTTTTTTGACATTAGGAAAACATACTCCGAGGTGAAAGAGGGCACTGGGGGTTTGGACTGTATCTCTACAGGACGGAGGTGGGTGCGGGGATGCTTGAATACTTTTCCAGATTTTGGGGGGAGGGGTATCCTAAGATGCAAATGTAGATTGGATTTTCTCCATGTTTTCCTGTTTGGCACCAAAATCATCCAGACAACCTCCCCACACCCCCTTTCGGTTTCCAGGCTGAGATAGTTCAGTCCGCCACTAGCACAGGAGTCCTCAAACTTTTTAAATAGAGGGCCAGGTCACAGTCCCTCAAACTGTTGGAGGGCCGGATTATAATTTGAAAAAAACATGAATGAATTCCTATGCACACTGCACATATCTTATTTGTAGTGAAAAAACACTTAAAACAATACAATAATTAAAATGAAGAACAATTTTAACAAATATAAATAATAATAAACTTTATTTATGTATTGTCGAAGGCTTTCATGGCCGGAATCACTGGGTTGTAGGTTTTTTCGGGCTATATGGCCATGTTCTAGAGGCATTCTCTCGTGACGTTTCACCTGCATCTATGGCAAGCATCCTCAGAGGTAGTGAGGATACCTCTCACTACCCTTGCCATAGATGTAGGCAAAACGTCAGGAGAAAATGCCTCTAGAACATGGCCATATAGTCCAGAAAACCTACAACAACCCATCTGTTGTTGTTGTTGTTGTTGTTGTTGTTGTTGTTGTGTGCTTTCAAGTCATTTCATACTTAGGTTGACCCTGAGCGAGGGCCGGGTAAATGACCTTGGAGGGCTGCATCCGGGCCCACGGCCCTCAGTTTGAGGAGCCCTGCTCTATGGCATCAGTTCCCAAATTTGGCCCTCCAGGACTTCATCTCCCATAGTTCCTAACAGCTGGTAAGCTGGCTGGGATTTCTGGGAGTTGAAGTCCAAAATACCTGGAGACCCAAAAGTTGGGAGCCACTGCTCTACAGCTCCCTCTTTCTCCTTCATGGGCAAATCCTGCTAGAAAATGAGACAGAAACACCCCATCTATGTGTCAAAAGGAGGAAGAGGGGACAAGGAAGCACCTGATCTAAGACTATTTTTAGTATTCATTTTCATGGATCCTTCATATGCCATATAGAGTGATATTAAACTCTCGGATTACAAAGCACATTTATATAGTTGTGGGAATGCACTCTGAACTGCATTTGAAGAAATTGATTATTATTATTATTATTATTATTATTATGTTTATTTATTTCCTGCTTTTCCTCTCCACAAGGAGGCTCACCCGTTTACGCCCATGAAATCTTAAACTAAAATACAAACCACTTTGTCTTTCTTTCTCCTCCTCCTTTTGTTCTAACTGTAAGCTGCCTAGAGTCTCCTTCGAGGTAGAGTAAGGTGGGATATAAATATCATAAATAAATAAATAACTTTTATGCTACAAGAGACTGACACCACTCCCTCTTTGAAAAACATGTTCCAAGTGGTTAGTGGTCAGATTTTGCTTGGCCTAAACAGGCCAGATGTAGACTGCAGAGGAGAGCCCTTCCCAGGTAGCCCACCCCCACCGGTCCCCAGTCGGATCTTGGAAAAGTTCCTTTCCGAAATTCCAGAACCACAGTGCTCTGGAAGCACAGAAGCCCATTACCAGCACCACTGGCTATCACCCTCTGAGAGAAGGATTCGGCCTAGGAGATGATGATGATTATGATGATGATAATATCATAGAATCATAGAGTTGGGAGAGACCTCCTGGGCCATCCAGTCCAACCCCCTGCCAAGAAGCAGGAAAATTGCATTCAAAGCACCCCCGACAGATGGCCATCCAGCCTCTGATTAAAAGCTTCCAAAGAAGGAGCCTCCACCACACTCCGGGGCAGAGAGTTCCACTTGGCAGGGGGTTGGACTGGATGGCCCATGAGGTCTCTTCCAACTCTATGATTCTATTGTCTAAAATCAATCCAGTGGAAAATATCAAAGCCATTGACAATTATTTTTTTCTTCTGGCCTTTCGCCCTGTTGAAATTCAAGTTCCCATCGGTGATCCTTTTGTTGTTGATGAGAGGTCGGGAGAACAAATACAGGACTCTCCAAGATCAGTTTTGAATTATGTTCAGAGACTGATTCTGGGATGGGGGACATTGAGCCGGTTCAGATGGGAACGTTTGATGCCTTGAGATGCCCTGGCGAAACCTGAGGACCATGAGTTAGATGCTATGGTTGAGTTTTTTCAAAGCATCTGAGGGTGGTAGAGAATCCCCTTTGCAAGGGTTTGTTTTTTAATCTTAGGGGGTCTCTAGATGTGAGTGCTGACTCCATGGGGATTAGAAACCACAAGGTGTGCCTTGCTTTTCTGAAACTGGAGCATTCACCTGGCTGGAAATTAGTAAAGCCCTGCGCTTATTCTCATGTCATATTTGCAGAGGTGCCAGACGTGAAGGTGACACACAAGGCGGAGTATGACGGCATGGAGACCTTGATCTGCCATGTTGGAGGCTTCTACCCCAAGGAGATTGACATCAACTGGAAAAGGGATGGAGAAGTCTGGATGCAAGATATCTACCATGGCCTGGTGTCCCCCAACTCAGATGGGACTTACTACACCTGGAGGAGCGTCACGGTGGACCCCAAGGAGAGGGAACGCTACAAATGCTACGTGGAGCATGATGGGCTTCCGAACCCTGTGGACGTGGCCTGGGAGGAGCCTGGTGAGTCATTGTTGGGGGGAGGGGCAAAGGGACAGCCACCCCCTCCCTCAGAGATACCATCAGTAGCACTATGGACCCCAGTTGTCTACTATTCAACCCCAATGTCACTCTCTCTGCACGTGCCTAGTGGGCCACCCATTTCCATCTCTTACTCTGTGCAAAGACTGGCTGGACTCTTTCTGCCTTTAATCCTGAGTGGCTGGGATGATAAATTTGTCAATGTTTAAATTGCAAATCTGGCAACAAAATGCAACAGCTAAACTTTATCATTTTACTATGTGTGCATTTGTTAAGAGTATTTATACTTGAAGCAGTTTACAAATCATTAGAGAATTCCCAATCTTTGGGCATAAACTAATGAAGATCCACAAGGAAAAGAGAATGGCTGTATGTGAGGTGATTCAATCCAAGCAGATGCAGGCTGCTCTTCCCTCCCTCAGGGACTGGAGCAAAGGCAGTTGGGAGATGGAAGGAGGGCCTCCCATCAGCCATTGGGACCAGGCCCCCAGCGGGGGGGGGGGGGGTTGGGGGGCTTAACCCCCCCCCCCGAAATTTTCATGGTGGTCGCGAAAAGGCCTTACTGGTACATTATTTAAACTGTTATGTTTATTCATATCATGATCTGATCACCATGCTCACTATATCTCATATGCATGGGGGTATTGGGGTAACGATACAAAAGATTTGCTTGGGTAGACCCTCTTTCACTCAGACTCAGCCCCCTCCCCCCCAAATCAATATCCTGGCTACGGGCCTGATTGGGATCGAGGCATAATGGAGCTGTCCCTGGATGCTCTTCTATTATGGCTTCTCCCCTGGAACAGAGATTGACACTTCCAATTGTGCAAACCCTGGCAGATGGTCATGGGAGCTGGGCTCTTCATTGAATGTACACAAACACACTTCTTTTAGCCTTGGTCTCCATGAATTTCCCAGTTCTTTGGCTATCTACAACCTGCTCCCCAAAAGGTTTGGTTTGCTGATTTCCTCTTAATTCTTTTTTTTTTTCTCCCATTTCACCTTCAGCCTCCAAGTTGTGGCATATCATCGGGGGTGTCATGGGGGTTTTCTTCCTGATTGCTGTGATGGCTGGGATTGCTGTGTATTTCAGTGAGTAAATTCTGAATGAAATTATTTGTGGGGGAGGCATTTCGTTGTTTGGAGGGGTTGTTTTTCCTATTGCGGACCCTACTCCCCTTGAGGGGAAGGCTCACAAATAGGACGGGCTACAAATAAACTATTATTATTATTATTATTATTATTATTATTAACCAACATCTTGGAGGTCTAGATGAGTCTTTTTGCCTTCTCTCGGCCACATCATGAGCTTGAGTGTCAGCCTGTTACCTGGGGAATAGGTCTCTCCTGGAGTGTCTAGGAGGCCTCTTTCCTTATGGGTAGCTAGGAAGAAATGGGAGAACCCTTGTGCAAGGAGGAGGGTGGGGTCTTCCCCATCAGAGAATGAAAAAGCTTTAACTCCCTGATTCTGTCTCTGCAGAAAAACGTCACGATGGATACAAAAAAGCTGCAGGTGAGTATCTCTTCCCCTGCTGCTGATTTACTCCTGAGAGGTGAACGCAGAGCCATGGCCTTCCAGAAAGGAGCAAAGCAAGGAGAGATATTTAACTGAGAAGAGCGGCTGCAGAAGGCAGCTCCATGTTCACTGGCTGGATCCAGTTCATATTGTGAAGTGCTCCTAGATCGGCAGGGGGAGGGGATGTTGAGCATTCTCTATATGCTGAGCATTGGAACTGCAGTATTCTAGTACTATACAGTGTTCCCTCGCTACTTTGCGGTTCGCTTATTACGGACTTGCTGTTTTGCGGTTTTCAATAAATATTAATTTAAAATATGTATTGCAGTATTTTCGCTGTTTCACGGGTTTTTGCTGCCACCGCTCTCCAAAGTACTTTCCCTCCTCAGTCCTCCCTCTCTCCAGCCTTGAAGCGCCTTTCCTTCTTTTCCTTCACTTTATTTTAAGTTTATAAAGACTTAAAATTGTGTATCACTACTAAAATAAGGTATAAATATTAAAATAAATATAGCATCTCTACTTCGCGGATTTTCACTTATCACGGGTGGTCCCAAAACGTAACACCCGAGATAAGTGAGGGAACACTGTACATACATACATATACATATGTATATATGTACATATTAGAGCTTTGTATTTTGGCAAAATTTGTATGCTGCTCCCACCAAATACAGACTAATCAAAACACCAATTTTTGGGAAAAGTTCGTTAATTATCGTAAGTCTTCATAAGTCAGCTTGTTTTTGAAATGTAAGCAAATTTCTGGGAGGCACAGCCAAACTTGCTCCATCACATGCTCTCCTCAGCCTATCAGGACTACAGGAAAGAGAAAGAGAGGAGGCATTTCTCTTAAATAGAAGCATCCATGCTGCCTCTTTTGCCATTATGAGAGGGAGATTGAGGGATCAGGAGTTCATTTGGTCCATTCTCCACTACTTTTGCATACAGCCACAGCTTAGGATTCCTTTAGGTTCATTTTCTTTGCATGTGTAGGATTTTTTCCCTTTACAAAGGATTCATTTGGGGGGGGGTGGGGGGAGAGTTCCATTTACTAAGGATTCAGGTTTCCAAATATTTTACTTTAATGTATTCTCAAAGGCTTTCATGGCTAGAATCACTAGGTTCTTGTGGGTTTTTCAGGCTATATGGCCATGTTCTAGAGGCATTTCTCCTGACGTTTCGCCTGCATCTTGGCAAGCATCCTCAGGTCCCTACCTCTGAGGATGCTTGCCATAGATGCAGGCAAAATTTCAGGAGAGAATGCCTCTAGAACATGGCCATATAGCCCAAAAAATCCTACAACAACCCAGTGATTCCGGCCATGAAAGCCTTTGAAAAATTAGAATTTTTCCCTTTGGATTTCTTTAATTAAAAACTAATTGATAATTTTGCAAAGTTCTTTCTTTATTTCCTTTTTCTGGGAGGAAAATCATCCCTTGCCAGGTGTGAAGGAGACCGTTTTAATGCCACCGAATGCCACCAATTTGTGAAGAAGTGTGGTAAAACTTACTGCCACCTAATCTGTGAGGGAAGCCGGGCAACGATCAATATCAGCCTAGGAGCTATTTTATAAAGGGACTGTTAATGACAGAAGGTTTTATTCAGTGGATAGCGTAGCGTTTACTGTCTCTGGCTGACTTCACTATTGCAGGCTGTTCAACTTAGGAGAAACTGTATCAGGCAAGGCTTGAGGAAAACAGTAACAAGTTTATTTTAACAGGAGTATAACATGTTTAACTGTTTCTTCACAAGAGGCACAAATCTTGATGGTTACATTAGAAAGGTTTCATGAGTAATCTCAGGCACAGACTTCAAAACGTTTCACAGCAGGCACAGCAGGCTTAAACCCAGCCAAACCTTGATTCTTAATTTAGAATCAACAACCCCCTGTAGCTCTCTCACTACCGGGTCCTTCTCTGCAACCACTTTGGTCACCAATTGATTCCCTGAATCCCCACCCTGAGATTCAGTCTTTCCTATAGCACACCGGCTACAGACACATTCCCTGAATCTCCACCCAGAGACTCAGTCCTCTCAGTAGCTCACCGGCTTACTGACTGACTTTTTAAAACAGCTGCCTCCTGAAGAGGCAGTTGGCTCCGCCCCTGTTGCTATGGCAACTCAGCTAACGCCAAGCCACCATCTCCAACAAAACATAATCCTCCATACTTACCATCCCTAAACTACTGTTTAAATTACACATAACCAAAGGAATAAAATTTACACATCGTCACACCAGGCAAAAATCAATCATGGTGCCATATTAAAAATATTTTGGGGTCAGTGGATAATTCTACCAAACTGTTCCTTTTTTTTTTGCTATAATAAAAATATTTTGGGGTCAATTCTACCAACCTATTCCTTTCCTTTACCATATTAAATATATATTTGTTTCAGTTAATAATTCTACAAAGTTATTTATTTCTTTTTTCTGGGAGGAAAATATAGTAGTCCTCTAGAAAAATGATCAAAGCCAAGGCTTAGACTAGGGGTCCTCAAACTTTTTAAACTGAGGGCCAGGTCAAACTGTTGGAGGGCTGGATTATAATTTGAAAAAGCATGAATGAATTCCTATGCACACTGCACATATCATATTTGTAGTACAAAAACACTTTAAAACAATACAATAATTAAAATGAAGAACAATTTTAACAAATATAAACTTATTAGTATTTCAATGGGAAGTGTGGGCCTGCTTTTGGCTGATGAGATAGGATTGTTGTTGTTGTTGTGTGCTTTCAAGTCATTTCAGACTTAGGTTGACCCTGAGTGAGGGCCGGGTAAATGACCTTGGAGGGCCATATGCCCCCCGGGCCTTAGTTTGAGGACCGCTGGCTTAGACTGTTTCTTTCCTCCTGCTTTTGATGGCTTAGTCCAAACCATAGATTTCTGTGTGTGTTAACTCAGCTCTTTGACACTGAGAAAGAGTGACTCAGCCACGGTGCTGAAATTGAAAAAAAAAACTCCTAAAAATCAGTGGACATGCAGATCATTCTGAAACTGGAGGAATGATGCTCTGGTTATGTTGTGTCATTGTAGAGAAATTCAAGGATCGTTCTTGTAGTGTTTTTTTTCTTCCAGTTATTTGTAAAAAATTTTAACAATTTCCTCAAAATCAGTGGATGAGTGAAACATTCTGAAACTTTATGGCTTACAGTTACAAATGTTTCCTACAATTGTAGCAAGTTTCATCCTGATAGCCATAAAAATGACACAGAAACGAGCCCCAGAAAGTGTTCCCATTGAAGCAGATGCGTAGAATAACAAAACAAAATAATAACGAATTTTTGGAATTTTGAATTCCAAAGAAAATGGACTCCTTATGATTGTTTAGAAATATGAAATGAAATGGGGGGCATATGAATTTCATATTTCGAAACGAAGTGGATTTTTGGCATTTCACACATCTCATATATATATATATATATATACACACACACGTACATACATACATACATACATACACACACATATATATATAAATACGCATATTCTGAATTATTAGGATTATTTGATAACTTTGTGTGTACATCTTTGTCTTGAGAAAAAGAGATAAATAAAAGCTTTCCTGTCCAAGGAACTGATCCACCTGTTCTTTGTTTCCTTTTCAGCAAGCGACCAAGGATCCAACAGCTCTGGGACAGGTAAGTGTTAAGTGATTCCCACTCCCAAGACATGCAAGTCGAAAATAGATTCCCTACCAAGTCAGTGCTACTGTTTGATCCCCACATTTCCCCACTCATTTATCTCCCAACCTTGTATCAAGTTTCACGTGAGTGAAGAGGAAACCCTCCCTGCTTCTCTGGATACTCCTGCTGTCCCATTGAGAGCAGTGGCTCAGCCCTGGAAATTGAAAGGCATGGTATGGTTCCTATTTGGCACCTCAGGGGGAAAGAGTGCATGGACTCTGAACTTACAGCCATGTATGTCATTAGGCCGGCCAACGAAGACACAGCCCATTGCAGAACTTGGCCAACTCCCCTCAAAGATCCTGGACCCTCTTCAGTCTCCAGACTACTAGTCTGTTCCCTCCTTGGAATGTCATCTTTGTACTAAAGGAGAGGCTCACTCTGTTTCCCTTCTGTCTTCTTCCAGGGACTGCTGTGCCCATCTAGCAACCTCAAAGCAGGTAAATGGCAGTGGGAGGGACAGTCATGGGTAGGAAATCCAATGATCCATCTTTTATTTGGAGGCAAATTCCACCTCTGAAATTCATTCAGAAATAAATGGGGTGGAGAATAGAAGGAGGAGAAGGGTGCTAGGGTAAAGGCCGGGTTTCATGAGACTGATAAGGTCTATCAGGAACACATCTCATTAAGAAAAAGAGATGTGTTCCTGGGCACTATTTCCCTAACAGAAAATTGGGTGCCAGAGGCATGGAAAGGTTAGGAAAAAATGAGTTTGACATTTTTCAGCAAAAATTTCGTTCAAAATTAACAATATACACATATGAAATGAAGCAACTTGCAGAAGAAAACAATAGCATTCCTTTTCCCCCCACTTATTTTTATTGAGAATAAATTTTGCTCCAAGAGATTGGAGCGTGGGAAAAGTTTTTAAAATAATGATATGTTTACATCGAAAGTGTGGGAACAATATGAAAAGGAAAGTAGGAGAAGAAAGAGACAAGGGTTGGGGAGTGGGAAATGGGAAAAAACAACAACAACAAGCCAAGGGGGTGGGGACAAGGAAAAGTTACATATAACTAGCAGGTTGCTTTAGGTTGTGTTTACAACTCTTATTTTTGATTTCCTATCTAACTACCATCTAATTTCACTTAATATTTCAGCCATTGATGCTTTCTCATATTGTCTGAATATGAATTTCTACATTGTCTTTTCTAATTAAATCAACACATTTCTCCCAGTTTGTTTTTTGTCTTTGCATATTATTATCAGTTAATTTGTGCGTTAGCAAATCCATATTCATTATATCCCAGACTTTTAATAGCCAGTTTTCAATTATTGGTATTTCTTTGGTTTTCCATAACTGTGCCAACTTAATCCTGGCTGCTGTTATTAAATTATGTTCGTGTTCTTATCCATATCAAAGTCTGTTAAGCCTAACAAAAAACATTCTGGTTTAAACTCAAAACTTAATTGCAAAATTGATTCTATCTTCTTGTGTATCAACTGCCAAAAGGCTTTAATTTTTTTACATTTCCACCATTGATGGATGAAGGTGCATTTTTAACACCTTCCATCTTCATCTTCTTCCATTGTTATCTAATAAAAAAAAAAAAAAAGGTTTCTATGATGTTAACTTTTTTATGTTGTATTTTATCTGTTTGTTTGCTTCATTCTGTTAGAAATGTAATATAATTGACTGGTTAATCTGACACGACAAATAAAATAAAATAAATAAAATAACTTTTTTATAATCTCAAACAGAATGATAGAAAAGTGGTGTACAGTATATCGAAACAAAAAAGATAGAAAAGTTGTGGAAATGGAAAATAGAAAGCCCCAACTAATGTTTCCAAGCCTATCCCTGCTGTCTTCTTCATAATCAAAGAAAATCTATCCTTTTTGTCATAAATCTTCTCTCTGGTAGATTAACTTTCTAGGATATCATTGGGAATTCTATTATTCTTGTCACTAACTTCTATGTTTTTTCTTTTCTTGTTATTTCTACATTCTTGTACTACTAATTTCCCCTTAATGTTGTAAAATTGTAATGTTTTCATTTTCTTCTTTAAAATAGTTAATAAAATGCTGCCATTTTCCTTCACATTTGGTAGGATTTGTCAACTGTATAAGCTTAGTCAGTTTGTCCATCTGCCCTATGCATCATTTTTGTAATTCATCAATCTCCGTCTCCATTTTGATGGTGGAGTTTGCTCAGTAATCCAGTCTGGGGCAGCTGCAGTTATCTTGCCTGTTGGAGGCAGGGACACACAACTGACTAAAGCAGATTCCCACTCAAACCTTTTCTAGAAAGAACGCAATATCCATCCTAAGCAACCCAGTGTTTCACCTTACATGTTAGATAATAGATCTGCAAATATATTTTCCTAAGTTTCCAGTCCTGAAAGTCAGCTTTCCTTCATCTTTTTGGGCACAATTTGAAACCCTCCCCTGATTAAAAACAGTCTCTGAGATCTCTGGAATAGTCCTTTATATGTCAGATTTTGGTGATAGTTCAAAAGAAGAAGTGACGCTAATTCCCATTATAACCCATGAAGGATGCCCCCCACTCCTCTGCTTACAAATCCTCCAGTGTGCCCTTGAGATCCTCTTCCTCGCTCATTCTTCAATCTAGTTTCGTTCGCTTGACCTCATTCCTAAACATTTCCCTTTTTTATTTTCCCTAGTATAATTGCCAAACATGCTGTGGAAGAGAAGAGAGGAAGAAGAATACATCCATACAAGCAATTTGAGGATCTCTCCATTAATCTTCACCTTCTTTCCACCTGTACAAATTTTGAGAATATTTTTGATGTCAGGAAGCTGGGTGTGAGGTGATCAAATGCGCTTTTTTTTTTTTGCAGCAATCAAACATTTTAGGAAGCATTTTGCAGCTGAAAGGATGAGCTTAAGTTTTTCACCTGATTTAAAAAAAATAGTTTATTGATACTTTGTTTAAATTGAATCCACCTGCTTTGCATAAGAGGAAAAAATAGCTCTGGAATGAATGTGCCATGCCTGCAATCCTGTTAATTACTTATGCATTATGACCACCCTGTCTCTTTTTTGGATGAGTTCAGGGGGCAATTCTCTGTCCCTTTGTGCCCAACCAGAACCAGTTAATTCTGGAGGGACCACTGCTGCTTTTGCTTAATGGCAGAATGAAGAAGAGAGCCCAAAGAAGAAGAGACCAGCCCTGGGGTTCTTAAAAAATGTATGGTGGGTTGTTTTGAGAACTTGATTGAATTTGTAGCTTTTTATTGTTTTGACTTTTAGAAAATTAGGTTTTTGGGGGGAAATACGGGTTTTTATATGCACAAACACTGAATGTTTTTCTTAGCTAGTTGCGTCTATAAAAATCAAGCTAACATCTATGATCATCTATCTGACCTTTTAAATGACTGTAGTAATTATGAGGGCAAAAATAAAGAGAATTTCCCCCCTTTCTCCTTGTTGTTGCTTGTTTTTTCAAGATAGATGTGTTGTCATCTGCTGCGGTATTATCATTTCTACATTACTGGCTGGGGTATTCTAGACATCGAGTCCAAAAAGTAACTTTTCTGGTG